TTATGCAAGCCTGTTGTACAAGACCTTTTTAAAGTGCTAAAGAGCAAAGATGTCAGTTTGAGGACTAAGGTGCGCTTGACTTAAGCCATGGTATTTTGAATAAATAACCTCATATGCATGTGAAAATTGGACAGTGAATAAGGAAGACCCTAGAAGAATTCATGCATTTGAGTATTGGTGTTGGAGGAGAATATTGGGTACCATGGGTTGTCAAAAGAACAAACAAATCTATTTTGCAAGAAGTGCAGCCAGAGTGCTCCTTGGAGGCCAAGATGGCCAAACTTTGTCTATCATGCTTCAGACATATTATCAGGAGGGACCAGTCCCTGGAGAAGGATATCATGTTTGGTAAGGTGGAGGGTAAGAGAAAAAAAGGAAGACCCCCCAGTGAGATGGATTGGTATCTTGGCAGCAGCGATGGGCTCAGGTGTAGCAATGATTGTGAGGTTGGCTTGGGACCAGCCTGTTGTGCACAGGGTCACTATTAGTTGGTATACCAACTCTGTGACACTTAACAACAACAACAGTGAAAATTTTGTGAAGTGCCTGTTTAAAAATTTTGTCCACTTTTCTTTTGGATTTCTGTCTTTTTTCCCCACTAATTCATAGAAGATTTTATATATAAACTCTATCAAATATGTATGGTTTTAATATTTAACTCTCTTAATATAATTTTTTATTGAATCAAGGTTTTTAATTTTAATCTAACTTGATTGTTCCATTTTCCTTTATAATTAGTGATTTTGTGTTCTGATTTAAGAAGTATTTGACTGTCTCTAGGTCATAAAGATACTCTTCTACATTATCTGCTGCAGGCTTTGTAGCTTTGCCTCTCAAATTATGATCTTATATCCACCTGGAATTTATTTTTGCGTTTACTGTGCCATAGGATTATGTCTACAGTAGCCAATCCAGTGACACACATATATAAATGTATAAAAAGAGTTCTGTTTCAAGGAAATGACTCATGGAGTCATTTGTGGAGGCTGGAAATTCTGAAATCCATGGGTCAGGTGGCAGGCTGGAGGCTTCTCCTGACTCACAGAGTCACAGGAGCAGATGAAACCAAAATCTGCAGGTTAGTCAGCAGCATCTGGCTCACAGAGTTGTTGTTGATAAGTGCTGTCGAATTGAATCCAACCCATAGAGACCCTGTGTAGGATTTCCAAGGAGCAGCTGGTGAGCTTGAACCACCGACCTTGCAATTCAAATGACTTTGCAGTCTAAAGCATTAGCCCACAATGCCACACCAGGACTCCGGATCTGACAAATCCAAAATCTGCCAAGTTGATAGACTGCTGCGTCATATCTGAAGAACGAAAGGTCAGAAGATGATGAATCAAATGAGGGATCAAATACCAGATAGAGAGAGAGAGCAAGCTTTGCCAGAATATTCATATATATTGGATGCTGGCCATACCTCGAAGGAAACTCTCTTTTCATCTGATTCTAATCAGATCACAATATAGAGGATGATTAGATAATATCTTCCAAACCATTGAGAATTACAGCTTATGGGTAACACATAACCCTAACCATCACAGGAACCAATTTTTTAGTTATTTCCAATATATGTTGGTGTTGGTGTTAAGTGCTGTCGAATTGGTTCTGACTCATAATGACCCTGTATAAGGTTTCCAAGGAGCAGCTAGTGGATTTGAACTACCAGTCTTGTGGTTTGTAGTCCAGAGCTGATTCTACAGCACCACACCAAGAACCTAATTGCAAATATATAGAAATGCAATTAATTCTTTCCTAAAATATTTGTTATGTGCTCTTTTATGAAATTTTATAATTTAGTAGTGTGGGTTATGAGTTAGGCTACTAAGCACAAGGTCAGCAGTTCGAATCTGTCAGTCACTCCATAGGAGAGAGATGAAGCTTTCTGCTCCTATAAGGATTTACAGCCTTGGAAAACCTTTACAGGGTCACTATGAATTGGAACCAACTCCACGGCACATAACCACTACCACTATGTATATATTATTTTAGATTTCCTATCCAAGTAATCATATCATCTGGGAATAAAGATAATTTTATTTCTTCCTTTCCAAATGTGATAGCTTTCATCTTTTAAAAAAAAATTTTTCTTGTTCTACATACAGGCTAGTACCTAAATTCCATCACTGAATAGAACAGGTCATAGTGATCATCCTTGTCTCATTTCCAATCTCAGTGTAAAAGTTCTCAGTGTTTCTCCATTAGGTATGTTTTTATAGATTTTTAAATACATATTCTTTATTGAGGAAATTTCTTTGGCTACAGTATAGAGAATAGATTGGATGATGGTAGTGGTTGTGTGCCATCAAGTCAGTTCCAACTCATAGCAAACTTGTATGTTTCTGAGGCCGGAAATCTTTACAAGAGCAGAAAGCCGCATCTTACTCCCGCGGAGCTGCTGGTGGATTCAAACTGTTGACCTTGTAGTTAGCAGCCCAACACATAACCCACAACATTACCAGAATGCCTTAGAGAATAGATCAGAAGAGAATAAAAGTGGAAGTGGCAGAGGCTATTGTTAGAGCCCAGGCTAGAGATGATGACCTAGACCAGGTTGGCAGCAAAACAACACAAATAAATGAAAGTGCAAGATATGTTGTGGAGCATAAGCTGAATAACTGGGCTTGGCTAATGATGGAAAAGAACAACTCAGTGATGACTTTCAAGTTACTGGTCTGAACACAAGATAAGATGCCGGTATCATTTGCTGAAAGCAGTAAAACATAAAAAAGAACAACTTTAGAGCAATAGGTGGGATCAAGGAATTTCATTTTGGCATTTATTGATATAAAGATGGTATTTAAAATCATGAAAATAAATCCAGAGACAGAATATCTGCTTTCAAGGCCTAAGATAGTCCAATAAGATTTAGAGGTTGGGTAGCACTGTTGTTGTTAAGTGCCATCTAGTCAATTCTGACCCATAGTGACCCTGCACGGTGTTTCTGGGGAACAGCTGGTAGGTTTGAACTGCCGACCTTGTGGTTCACAGTTAGAGGCGTCTACATAGGAGACCAAGAAGGAGGCTCAGAGAAGTAAGTAAAAACCAGGAGAATTTGGTATTATGGTCGCTAAGAGAGGAAAGCTTTGTAGCATGGAGAGAGTGAAAGCTACTGAGAGATCTGTTGTCCATTGGGTGTATGTGGGCAGTGGGAGGTCAGTAGTGTCCTTTCAAAAATAGTTTCAGTGGAATAATAGGGATGAAAGTCAGCATGATGTAGATTGATAAATGTATGGAAACTACTTAGACCAGGTATGTATAGAAACTCCTCATCAACTTCCTTTGTCCTGCTGTCCTTTGGTTAGGTAGACTTTGACAAAGCTTATTAACACATGACAGCACTAGAGAGTCGGTCAGTCACATGACATTGGTTATTTGTCAGCTTTGGGGGAACTATACTCCTTCCTTTGAAAGCTGCTATTTCTGGCTCACATTTACATTTATCTCATGTGTATTTTTATCACTCTTATTCTCCATCTTTAGATAAAAATTGAACTAAAGCAGGCCCAACAGAAGTTACTAGACAGTGCAAAGATGTGCTCTTCTCTCACGGCAGAATGGAAGCACTGTCAGCAGAAAATCAAGGAACTGGAGCTGGAAGCACTTAAACAGGCTCAGAGCATGAAGGCACAGGACAGCCTACAGGAGAAGCTGACTCAAGAGAAATCTAAAGTTGCTGCTGCCGAGGAAAAGGTAATGACATTCATATAAGCTGATGCGTGTCAAACAGAACATACTGGATGTCACTACTGGAATCCTGTTTCCCTAAGGATTATAGAAAGCAAATATGGCACTAACTTGATAGAATTCTAGGTTCTTTTCTTTACTCTCCCCCTATGCTTTTCTCTATTTTGACTTCACCTGATGTTACAATTCCAGTAAATCTAAAGTGTTTCATTTGTTTTTTAATATTGCATGAACTTAAAAATAAGCTACGTTAAAGCAACAGCATGAGCTTAAAGAACTGACTGGGACCATATCACTTTTATTTTATAGTTTCATATTTCAAAAGGGCTTCTCTTATTGGGTTGACAATGTACGTAATTCTTATTTTATTGTTTTTTAGAGGGATTTGTATTGTGAAATAAACTATTTTGAAATAGTGTCCCTGCATTTTAGGATGTATACCACCAGGTGGCAGTAGTATGCAATAGTTACACAATTTTATCAGAGTAGAAGTTTACAGCTCTGGTAGTGTAGTGGTTACGAATCGGGCTGCGAACCTTAAGGTCAGCGGTTCGAAACTACCAGCCGCTCCGCGGGAGAAAGATGAGGCTTTCTACTCCCGTAAGGATTTACACCCTCGGAAACCCCGTACAGGGTCGCTATGGGTCGGAACCGACTCGAAGGCAATTAACAACAACAACAAGAAGTTTACAGAACCATAAATCCTTACATCAAAATATATAAATATAAAGCAAACATCAAAAAATAAGATGACAGAAACCTGAATAATCTCAAAAGCCTAATGTTGCGCTAAAGAAGCCAGTACAAAAGAGCTCATAATATGTGATTCCATGTATTTCAAGTTCAAGGATAAAACTAAGTTAGGGTTATAGAATGTTTACCTTTGTTAAAGGATTTTGACTGGGAGGTAACCTTCTGTCCTGTTATAGGTAGTCTCTGTCTTGTTCTGGGAGGTGTTTAAACAAGGGTAAGTCAAAAATTATTGCTATTAAATTCTAGAAACCTTTATTGAACAAAAATATCAAAATATGAAGCTGTGGTTTTCCATCTATATTTCTGAAGACAATGCTTCTATCTCTCTCATCCTTCCCCCAAAGAATTCTCTGCTCTTCAGCTTGCACTGCATCAAAATGGCAGTTTGGGCATCCTCAAGGAACTCAAATCATGTTCCCTTTTAATGTTCTTTGAGGTTTGGGGAAAAAAGGAAGCCTGGAGGGGTAAGATCAAGCCTATAGGATGGATGGGGTAATGTTTTCCAATGACTTTTTCATAAGACAGCCCTTGCTACCCTCAAAGAATGAGCAAGTACATTGTTGTGATGGGGTCAGGGGAGGAGGGGCTCTTTAGCACAATTTTCCTGGCCTCCTTTTCATCAATACAGTCTTCAGTGTCCTTAAAACTACTTCATAATAAGCCCCTGTTATCAACCTGAGTCCCTTGAGAAAATCTGTCCATTACCCCCATGCAATCCCAAAAGATAATTTCCATAACCTGAGTTGGCCCAGCAGATCCCCTCAAAAGCTGCTGTTTTGGTTGGACCGTTTATTTGAAGGTACCCTGTCTGAGTTATCTAATGCTACTATAACAGAAACACTACAAGTATTGAGGTTTAACAACCAGAAATTTATTCCCTCACAATTTAGGAGGCTAGAAGTTCAAAATCAGAGTGCCAATTCTAGAGGAAGGCTTTCTCTTCATCTGCTCTGGGGGAAAGTCCTTGTTTCCTTTCAGCATCTCTAGATCCAGTATACTCTGGAAATTTCCATAAGTCTTAGCATCAATCTTCCCCTGGATCTAGGAGCTTCACGGAGCAAGACCCCAGGTCCAAAGGACACACTCCACTCCTGGCTCTTCTTTTTTGATGGTAGTGGGGTCCCTCAGAGCTCTGCTCACTTCTCTATCCTTTTATAGCTCAGAGAAATTTACTCAAGATACAACCTAATCCTGTAAATTGCATCTGGTCTCATTAGCTTCATAGAAGTGAGAATTTACAATACATAGGCTAAGGCTAATTACATAAGATCACATCATGTGGGTGATTACGTCATATTAGATCTCATCATTGAGGTGATAATTATATATTAACTACTAAACCACTGAGAACCCCCGCCACGTCATGTTGACACCAAACCTTAACTATCATGCATCCTAATAAGACTAAGGCAAGTGTTTTAAAGAGAGAACTTACCTGCCACCATGTTTTGCAAACATGTTTTGCTTGGAATAAATCCATGAATGCATGAACTGGAGACTTATTAGGAATAATTTATTACTTATCCTCATATAGGTAAAACTTCAATGAGTTGTGTGTTTGAGACATATGCATTTTCCTATATATATGTTGTTGTTTCTAAGTGTTGTCAAGTTGGTTCTAACAGCAACCTTGTATAAGGTTTCTGAGGAGCGTCTGGTAAGTTTGAACCAACTACCTTATGATTCAAACCAATCTTGTGGTCCAGTTCCTACAGCGCTACAACAGGACTCTGTATATATGTTATCACTCCTTAAAAATGTAACTAGCAAAAATGGTATACAAATGGTAAAATTGGTAAAGATTAGTAAAATTTTTAATTGGGCAATGCCAAATAGTGACAAAGATTTGGTAAAAGAACTCTTGTACATTGGAAAGCAATTTGTCATTAACTAGTTAAGTTAAAAATATATATACTTTACAACTCAAGACTTCTACTACTAGATATAAACACTTGAGAAACTATTTACTGCATGTATTCATCAGGAGACATGAATACAAGCATGCTCATAGTAGCATTATTCCTAGTAGCAGAAAACTGGAAACAACCCAAATGTCCAACGACAAGAGAATAGGTAAATAATTGTTGTATATTTACACACAACGAAAACGAATGAACTATAGGTATAAATTTAAAAACAATCAAAGACAGTACAACTCCAGTCATATGAAGATAAAAATAGTATAAAACTAAAACCATACCATTTAGACATTTATATTATCAAAAGAACGGGCAATGAAATGATGAACATAATATTTAAGGTATTCGTTTATTTGGGCAGAAAGGGAAGGGGATAATAAAAGAGGATCACAGAATAAACTTCAAAGGTATTGGAAATGTTCTCTTTCTTAAATTGTATGATGGGTTAAAAAGTGGACATATGTGCTTGACATAAAGCAAATGGAGTATACTTTCATATATGAACTAAAGACTGAATATCTTTAAGTTAGGAAGAACCCTCCCTAGGTAGAACTAAGTGAGGCAACTCCAAGACACTTGAGCTGGTCTCAGATGACTGGCCGCTATCTTTGAATCATCCTTCATCTTCACTTACAGTGTGTGGAACTCTGCAGGGGCCTAGGTATCAGGGCTTTGGGGTGATGCAGAGAAACCTTCTCCATCCATTGTTGTTTTTGTTAAGTGCCACTGAGTCTGTTCCAACTTATAGTGATCCTGTATAGGGTTTCCAGAGAGAGCTGGTAAGTTTGAACTGCCGACCTTGTAGTTCACAGTCCAGTGTTGATCGTATAGTGCCACACCAAGAGTCCATTCTCCATCTACTAGAGGCTTAGAAAGGGGCTACCATCCCTGATAGTCACTGAATGTCTGTGGGGAACCTGGTGACTAACCAGTGTAAGGATTCATTGTTGGGTCAGGACTCAATAGAAGCACAACAGTAGCCTTGCTGAGATTTGTTAATCCAACAAATATTTATTGAGCACCTGCTAATTACCAGTCACAATTTAGGTGGCACCAGAATTACAAAAAATAAGCAAATTTAAAAGGAGATTTTTTAAAATGTATTTAACAATAAATTGTAAGATGAGACTTTTAGTCTAACTTTAAAAATTCTAAAATATAGCTATATATCTCTTTCAAATCCATAAATTGTATTTTTTAGTTCTACTGGAACATTTTAAAAAATCTATTACTAGTACTAGGCAGTATTCCAATAGATAAGAGAGTATACTTTGTTTTGAGATATTCATGAATCTAGACAAACTGTGGAGAAATTAAATATACTCACACATTGCTGTTGGAAGTATAAATAAGTCAGATGCCTATGGAGGGCAGCTTAGCATCATCTAACATCATCAACAAAAAATTCCCTTAACATAGAAAATCCACATCTAGTAATTTATCCTACAGATAGTGTTCACCATAATATTGTTTGTAATAACAAAAAATCGACTCAATGTGAATATCTATCACTAGGAGACCAGTTAAATGAATTACGATATATATTCTTACAGTGAAAGAATGCAGTTGTAAAGAAGATAAACATAGTTGTGTTTTAGGTGTGGGAGGGTAGTCTGACATGGTGAACATGCTGAAGTAGTATTTGCATGGTTTGTGCTATGAAAAGCAAATGATGTAATTTGCAGATATCTTTTTTTTTTAAAGGTTTTTATTGTGGATTGAGTGAAAGTTTACAGGGCATAGCATCAGTTTTACATTCAACAAATCATACACCTTGCTTCATTACAATGACTATACTCCCCTCCTCGTACCATCAGTTAACAGTATTTCTCTCTATCCACTTTAGCTTTTTTAAAAACAAACAAATACAAAAAAAAACAACAACAACACTCAGGCATATATAATAATTTACATCTCCAAAGGGCACATTCTGCAAGTCTGCTCCTGGCCACCAGCTCTTTGTCCCTCTCTTCTTAGTCCATGAATCTAGAGTACTCAGCCACTCCCCCTCTCCATGCCCTCATCTCTGTTTCCATCTTTGGCGCTGCTGCTTCTCTGGATAAGGTCCCGCATTCTGCTTGTGCGAATCTCTCTTGATGGTCCTAGGATCCTCTGTTTCTGGACTGTAAGATTAACCTCTCTCCTGTTTTTGTTACAGAACTTCTACCTTTACAATTGTGGCGGTCGCAATTAGTCATGATAACAATTATTCACTATTGAATCTTATGAATCTTAGCCCCATCTCTTTTCACCAGACCCATCTAGACAAGATGACAGCTATTCAGTGGGGACTCTTTCTTTCCCCCATACTCTTAAACTAAACTCCCCCTTGTA